TCAAAGCATGCAAGGCAACAGCCGTTCACAGCAGGAAAGGTACTCGAACAACAAAACGATACCTGGTCAGAGCATGAAAATGAGTTGTCTTTGTGGAGAAACGCACCTTCAGCAACGGTGCAACAAATTCGTCTCGAGCGCAGAACCGAAGCCAGAAGACAAAGAGTATGTTGGAGATGCTTCAACAAAGGGCACAATTCAAGACAATGTCTTGTCGTCAGCAAATGTCCAAAATGCAACGAAGATCACATTCATTACTCTGCACCGCTAATGGAAGCAGATTGCAATCAGCAAACACATCGCGTTTCATACAATACCCAGCTCCAGCTGCGAGTACCGATCAAGCGACTACGGGGAGCGCAAGTTCGGCGAACCACAATCGCTCACAACAGCCAGCAAGACTGCGCAGTCAACAACAAGAAAGTAGTCGAGTTCAAACCTTTCCAAACACTGCGCCTCAGGTGAATATAACCAATGAGCTAAATCAACTACTCGCTGTCAACATGTGCTACAAATAGCTACAGCTCAAATTTTCAATGAACCTAAGATGGACTATCAAACTAGAACTTTTCTCTTGGACTCAGAAGCTCAACGGAGCTTCATCAAATCATCACTTGGAGCGTCGCTCAAGCTGCCATCGCTCAGTACCACATCATTCACTACTGTAGGGATGGGGGAGCTACGTGAAACCTTCCGAACCAACGAAGTGCGGATTACATTAAGAAGCTGCCATAGCTCAGAAAAGCTGCAGCATCTATCAGTCTTCACGAAAGACAAACTAACAAGTCATACGAGAACTGCCGAATTATCAGAAGCAGACAAGAACTTCATCAAAGCAAAGAAAATCTCGATCGCTCAGCGGAGTCTAATTCCAGCAGACGTATCTCCTGATCTACTTATTGGGCAGGATCTGCTGCCTAGTATTCTCGACCACAGCTCGGCAACTATCAAATTACCATCTGGATTAGTCCTCACACCCACTATCTTCGGGTACACCATCTCAGGGACTAGCAGCATACCAGATTCAATGAAGCAAGTTAGAGAAGCACAATTTATGTAGCTCGCTCATTGTGGCTACTCCTCTTGTATCATCGAAAGACGATTACAAAACGGACATAAAGCATCTGTACGAGCTGGAAACTTGGACTCAATACAGAAAGTGACACAGATGAAGCAGCCGTTATCAAATTTGTGGAGGACTACAGGAAAATCATTTCTATCGAAAATGGTACCGTCACTGCTGGATTTCCATTCACTGATGAAGTCAAGAACCTCAAAGATAACTTCAGT